TCAATGGGGGCGACAGATGTCACAGCCAGATCCTTAAGTCATTCTTGCTGGCCAGTGGTGACACATGCCTTTTATCCCAGCACTCGGAAGGCAGAGACTGGCGGATTTTTATGAGTTTGAGGCCAGCCTGGTCTACAGAGCTAGTTCCAGGACAGCTAGGGCTGTTACACAGAGAAACTTTGTCTCGAAAAACCAAAGAAAAAAAGAAATTTAAAAAATAAAAGAAATATATTTCTTTTAATGTTCTTTTAGGCCCTGTGCTCATTAGTATTTTATTATTTAAATAGTGGGAAATTAATATTTTTGGAATATTAGACAGTGTTTATGCATTTGGATTATAACAATGCATCTGTTCTTGGGATGAATATAAGATTGTACAACATCCATAGATTTTATAACGTAATATTGCTGTGATAGCTTTCCACTAATGAAAATGAATGAGAAGAGGGGGTTTTGAAAATGATTTACGGATTTTAAGAATAGAACAACACATAAGCAAGTTCCTTCTATTCGTAATCTACTCATCTGTACCCAAGGCAGTAAAGAAACAGCTTGATTTTCCCATATTCCTTAATGATATTCTGATTTTCTGCACAACATTTAATATTTCATTTTTTTTAGTACCAGAGATTAAAGAATTAAAACTCTAGCTGTGCACAATTTCCTAACTCACTACAAATTTTGCATTTCATTTCACTACCACAGCCAAACCACTAATACTTCTAGAATATTTCAGCAGCAATTTAGAAAAAGAAGGTAAATTGGTCTAGAATTGTGTTTTAGAAGTAAGTATATATTCAAACGTTTTTACTAAAAAAAAAAATCTAATTATATTTGCTTTTAGTATATCTGAACTAAATGTGAAATGTAATGGATTTTTTTTTCTTTTAAAACACCTTTCTGTCAATCTGATCTAACCTATTCCTCTGAAGGTTTGCAATTAGATTTGGGGAGAGGGAAAAGGTGAATCTCAAAAGCATGGATCGGCTGTGACTGACTGTATCCTTGACCCAATTCCTATCATTGGCTTGGAACAGACATGCAGATCTTGTTGAGCTCTGTGAGTTGCTGAACAAGAGTAGAGCCTGCCCCTTGGCATCATGTGTACATTGGCTTGTGATGCCTGGCATCCTTCATATGTTTGACACATGCATACCTGTGAAGTTTTACAATGTATTATTTATTGACAGAGCACAAGAGAGCTGTGAAATTACATTCATTTTAATTTAGAACTCACTTAAAGCCTTCTGATTTTAATGAAAGTTCAAGGTAAGTTTTTGCAACAAAAAAGTATATAGAACCTCTTTATAGAGACATGGCTGGTTCAATGTGTAAATAGTAGACCCTTAATAATAAAGCTGCAGTGGCCCTAAGGAGGAACGCTGAATGAGCAATTTGGCAGTGATCTTGGCAAATCAGAGCTCAAACAATATTTATTTGATAATTTAGTAAAGGATGCCATGGCGTCAATGTTTGTCCTTTATTCCATGTTTGCAGGTCGACTCGCAGACATTTTACATTATTCTAGTTTAGGGTAAGAGACAAAACTCTTAAAAATAGTTACCTCAGAGTATAGGTCAGAGTGAAATGAGCTGTCACCCACTCTTGGGTTTACAGATTGTCTTACATGTAACCTTGTTCTGTTCACATGCTCTTTCTTTTCTCATCCTCACACAATTCTTTTTATTTCAAGTACAAAATGGGATAATTCTGGTGCCAGGAGCAGATTGATACTTGGTTCTGGACCAGTCCTGCACAGGAATGAGCCTTTATGGCCCTCTACAGAGTCAAGGCTGAGGTGTCCCCCTTCACTGGAGTCCAGTCACTGTTGTTTTATCCATGTTAGGATGTTAATATAGTACATATGTCTAATTTTCAGTGTATGTTTATATAAATGCAAATTCCTTCTCGGTAGGTTTTAGATAGCAGTGATTGAGGATGTCACATGTTGATATTCAAAACTACTTTAAAGTAGGATTTTGACCTGTAACTCTTATTTTATTATTGTTTTCTTTAATTGTTCTTACTTCCTGTTGCTTTCTCAGTGATGAAACTGAGGTCATTGAGTGAAAAAAATCTTAAAGACAAATGGAAAATCATCTGAAGATTTTGTTTTTATAGTGGAGATAGCTTATTATAAGATCCATCTTGAGATTTTTTTCAGGCTTTTGATACTCTTTATTATTTTTAATGTCTTCAATCAGAATATAATTATCAGTTCCTCCCTCCCTTTCTTTCCTCCAGCCCCTCCCAGTCACCCTCCTCCAAATCCCTCCAGTGGCCCCCACTCTCAAGTTGACAGTCTCATTTGCTCTTATCTGTGTGCATGAGTGAAGAGATATAAATAGAACCTGCTGAGTCAAGTCTATGTTTGTTGTTTGTGTGTATGTGGTTTCAAGGCTGACCACTATGCATTGGTCCACCCATAAGCAGACTCATCCCTAGAAGGGGCTGATTGTCCTCCCAGCAAGCAATAGTTACCTATAAATCTTTGTTTAGGGAGGGACCTCACAAAATTTCCCCCTTCCATGTTAACTATCTTGTGTAGTACTGATGTTCCTATTCCTGTCTTGTTTCCAGGAGATAGTGTTTCACCGTAGTACTTTTTCCATGCTATGTCCTGAGTAATAGTTGCAGGAACTCCTCCCTATCATCTTTTGATTTCTGCTTTGGATCCAGTTGTGGTTTTTTGCAGAGGTCTTTTCTATAAAGAGAGGCTTCTCTGAATGAGGAATAATAGTTATAACTATTATTATAGTTTTTTTTTTTATTTTTTTGGTTTTTCGAGACAGGGTTTCTCTGTAGCTTTGGAGCCTGTCCTGGAACTCCCTTTGTAGACCAGGCTGGCCTCGAACTCACAGAGATTATAATATAAGGATAAGACTTGAAACATAGTAAGGAATTATGTGTGACTAGCAAAGTGGTGGTAAGACCTCACTAACCATAGAAAGCTGGCTAGGTTTCCAATACCAGCATGATGTCCCTCCTGGTGAATGCGCCATAAGTCTAATTAGACAGCTGTTTGTTGACTCCTCTATGCATATCCTGCTATGCTGGTATTTGTCATGGTTACTAGGTGCTGTAGCTGGATAGGACTGTTTAATTGTTTCTATCTCTTGGCAGTTTGCATAGCATTTTTTGGAACCATGAATGCTATACTGGAGGGAACATGCTTTCAGGTCAGATTAGCATGAGTTGTCTGAGTCTTGTGTCCCATGAGTGCAGCATCTTCAGCAGTAGGGCCCAACCCCCGAGAGGAAACCAAGTACTTTATTGGTAATCTACATTGCTTTGGAAGTCACTTGGATCATCTTGACTGCTCTTCAAAAGGAGATTTCTTGTGTCTAGTACAGGGGTTTTGGTTAGTTTGTGATTTGGGGGAAAACATTGTCAGCCCAATTGGCTGAACTTTCTCCTATACATGTATACATGTATACAAATATATATATATATATATATATATATATATATATATATATATATATCACATATATGTATGTACTGTATCTAATTTTAGGTAAATATAAAATAATGTGATTCCTTGAAGCTTAATCAAAGAACATTGGCATTATTTGTCCCTCAACCCTCATTCTCCATTTGTATTGACCTCCTCCCTCCTCCCCAGTTGGAGCCCCTTCCCTGTTGTTCCATTTCCTATTCCTACTTATACCCTGTTGTTTTCTACCAAGGGCCTCCCTTGCCTGAGGTCTCTTTATACTCTTCTGGTGTCTGTGCTTACTATATATTTATACATATTAATGCACTCAGATATGAGGAGCTGAGGCTAGGAACTACTAACAAGAGAGAACATATGGCATTTGTCTTTCTGGGTCTGGGTTACCCCATTTCTAGTATTTTATGCATAGAAACTTGTGAGACAGGTGGTGCTGTTAATTCTTCTTTCATTTCTTTCCACAGGCAACAAAACTACGCCTTATAAGTTTATGTAATTATACCAAAGCACTAAGTCATTTGGTTTTAAATCTCAAATTTAGTTGTGTTCATTAAACCCAGCAGTGACACACACACACACACACACACACACACACACACACACACACACCATCCTAAAATGCTGCTGATACTTAAGTTGTATCATCCTATGTGATTGTTCTTGGCATATTGGGCATACTGATTTTAGAATGCAGTCAGGCAGTCACTGTCTGCTAATGCCCCTGCTTAGGTTTTTCCTACTCACCGCATGGAATAGCTCAGGCTTTTGAAGCTGATACTGTAAATACACTTGCCCAATCCATAGGAAGAACTTTTTCTCTGGAGAATAAATAGTAAGCAAACTTCTCTACAGGAGTGGCGTCCAGTCCCAGGCATGCCATGGGATTTGTTCGGTATTTATTTTACTGGGTCCTGCTGAGACCCTGATGTGTTTGACTGAGGAAAGTGCTATAGACAAATGCACTTTCCTAACATTGTACCATTGGCATCTAACAGACCATATATGCAACTGGCAAAGTGAGCAGGCATGTTAAGTGCTCAGTTCAGACTGGACTGAACTTACTCATTGCTTAAAAATCTTTGGAAGGGCCGGGCGGTGGTGGAGCACGCCTTTAATCCCAGCACTTGGGAGGCAGAGGCAGGCGGATCTCTGAGTTCGAGACCAGCCTGTTCTACAGACCTAGTTCCAGGACAGGCTCCAAAACCAAAGAGAAACCCTGTCTCGAAAAACAAACAAAAAGAACAAAAAAAAAAAAAACAAAAAAAAATCTTTGGAAGGAAGGATGAGTGCTGGGGAAGCAGCCTGCTCTCCACAACCCTAGCACTGACATTTCAGGTACATGCTGCCACACCTACTGGGCATCTGGACTCAATTCCTCAGGCGTGTTCTTCCCTATCTCTCCAGCCCTAGCTAGCTTTATTGTTTTGTTTGATATAATTGGGGTTTTAAGATTTGAGAATATTTAGGGCAACCATGAAGAAGAGACTAGGATGAGTTTCACAGATGCCATGTGGTAATTGTTTGATTAGTCCTTATTTCTTTTCAGGGGTGAAGGCTTGTCTGCACAGTAAACTACGTGAACAGGAGGAAAAGTACGAAGTTCCTGGAGGTCCACAGAGGAGCAGGCTCAACAGAGAGCAGCTGGTATTTTCTCTTACATACTCCTGCTTGTTCTCATGGCTTCACATCATTAACACCATCAGGAAAACTCTGCCCTTTCAGCCAGTACAGGCGACTGATTAAAATTTTAATTGTGCTTATTTCAAGCACTTGGTTCTGAAATATGATCACGATGTGTAGTAAAATCCAGAAGGTAATAATTTCACACTGTTAATGGATTTTTGGCATCTTGAACATTTCCATAAAGCTTTCAGAATCTGAGGTAAGTCTCAGATACAGGAAGTATCTTGAAAGAAGACTTACAGCTGCTGCTCGGATTTAGCTATCATATCTTTTTATTGCCACATAGTACAGTTTTAATTGGCAATATTCCATTATTGTGTTGATATGGAGGTATGTAGATATGTATGTATATATAGTAGAAATGACAAAGACGTTTTCTAATTTTGGAACTGTAGACATGACCTCATAATAGTAATACTGGCAATGGATCTCTAGAACTAAGGCCACACTCTTACCTGGCTGCCCAGGAGACCTTCAGTAGCATGTAGGAACCTGAAAGCAGAGGAACAGAACTGAACCGTCTGTGGGGAAAAATGTTGCCCTTATAGTTTAAATCCAGTCTTACATCACTAAAGGTTACTTTTGATATTGTAGAGTCTGTGAGATTTAAATCCTACCCATGTGGAAAACCATCCTGATGGAGGAAATTGAAGAGTTGTGGTTTTGTTTTTGTTTTTAGTTTTTGGACAGGGTCTCACTATGTAGTATAGGCTGACCTTAAACTTGCTGTGCTCTTTCTTGGCTAGCCTTAGAGCTAGAATTTAGGTGTATACTGCTATGCCGGCCTATAGGTTGTTTGTTTTGGGTTTTGTTTTATTTTCACTGCAGAACACATCTGAAATGTTAGGAAAGTAAAAAGAAATCAGTCAGCAGCTGAATATTAGATGAAAAAAATCGTAAATAAGAAACTTTTATTTGCATGGCTGGAGAGGTGGCTCAGCAGTTAAGACCTCTGGCTGTTCTTACAGAGGACCTGGGCTCATTTCCTGGCACTCACCGGCAGTTCACAGCTGTCTGTAACTCCAGTTCTAGGGAATCTGAAACCCTCATATAGACATGTATGTGAGCAAAGCACCACTGCACATAAAATAAGAATAAATAGATCATTAAATTAGAAAAAAAACCCTTTTAGTTTCAGATGTATGCTTTCTGATCCAGGTAGTGTGATTGAAGTACTGTCTTTGCCAGCACCTCATTAGCATGTTTCTTACTGACTCAGGATATTTTTTTAATGTCTTTCATTCATATATAGTGTTTTAAAATATTTTGTTCTGCTACTAACAGTTGTTTTCTTGCTGTTTTAGTTGCCAAAGCTGTTTGATGGATGCTACTTCTTTTTGGGGGGAAACTTCAAGCATCATCCAAAAGGCGACCTCCTTAAGCTCATTGCTGCAGCAGGAGGGAAGGTGCTCAGTAGAAAGCCCAAGCCAGACAGTGATGTGACACAGACCATCAACACAGTGGCATACCATGCCAACCCTGATTCTGACCAGCGCTTCTGCACACAGTACATCGTCTATGAAGATTTGTTTAATTGTCGCCCAGAAAGGGTTCGGCAGGGCAAAGTCTGGATGGCTCCTTCCACCTGGCTTATCAGCTGTGTAATGGCCTTTGAATTGCTTCCTCTTGACAGCTGAGTGTCATATTGTGAACATTTTAAGTTGAACGTGCATGGTTTATGGGAACCCAGCAATTGTCATGTGTTTGATCATTCATGTTTTTATCAATAGGTAGAGCCATTTATATCTCCCCCCTTATAATTACAAAATAAAACACCTGAAGCTAGGTTAGGAATTCATTTAGATGCCAGTATTGCTTTTAAGATTCTTTTGTTCTCTTGAGGTTGTAGCTATAACTCAGTGGTAGAGTCTTCATGGACCATGCATGAGGCATGAGGTTCCAGCCTGGGAACTGCAAGGAAGTTTTCATTTTACAACTGGCCTGTGATTTTTGATTGATCATGTCTTTCAGTTTTATCAGTATGTATCCCAGATTAATAAGTGAGATGGCATCAGAACTACTTGTTAATATATAAGTGGTCTATTTAGCATCTTTTAGTAAACAGTATCATCAGATGATCAATTCTGCCTCAGTTACAATGACAATAGAGCATCTATCAAAGTGTGCCACTATAAAGTTCTATTTCTTTTTCTTACACTATCTTTTAGTTTCTTATATTTTCTTGGCCTTCATTCATGTTTATTCAGTTTTAAAATCTGTGTGTGCATTAAAAAATCATGATTTGAACCATTGGATGTTAGTGACAAAATCATCAGTATACTTGTGTGTGTGTATGTTTATTGTGCAATATGCTCTCTGTCTACTGTGCATATGTACAAACCTCTATTTTCTGTAACTTATTTTATTAGTGTTACTAATCTTGCCAGTTTAGAAAACTATCAAACATCAATTTACTAGATTAGAAGCAATCTGTTTATAGTAAATCTTTCTGGGCATTACTAAAGTAAGCCTCTATCAAGATTAATCCCTTCCACCTTCCTTTTTTTTTTCTTCTTTTCCTCCCTTTCTCCTTTCCTTTTATTTATGATACTGGGTATGGAAGTCTTGTGCATGCTAGGTAGTTACCTACCACAGAACTATATCCTCAGCCCAGGTTTAATCTCCTCTCTCTCTCTCTCTCTCTCTCTCTCTCTTTCCTACACTCCCAATTTTATTTTTATTTTTAGACTGTTTTATTGAGTTATCCAGGATGGTCTTGAACTCACTCAGTTTTAATTTCTTTATAAAGTTTTTGGGTTAATGAGTAGGCAAAAGTTGGAGATGGATTGATTCATAATATTTTTACCATATCCTGCACACAGGCCATCACAGTACATATAGGGAAGTATGAGTGAGAAGAACCTCTTCTCACTATGGAAACAACCAAGGCAGAGTAGTAGAAGAGCACTGTGTGGCATGCGCACACTGTCTGCTCAGCCTGTCTATCCGCATGTATGTCCTCACTGTGAATGGACAGGATCTATATTCAGCTTCACCAAGTAGGATTAAAATATTGTGGAGATAGTGTCCCCATAGGGTGTCTTTTCAATATGCCAAGGGGGCTGCTTCAGGGAGGTGAGAGCTGAGTACATGGAGGAGACATCTTTGGCCTCTTTGCTGAATTTGGAGTTAAAGTCTCATATCTGAGCCACCCATTCCCACTCAGTGCCTAGAGATGACTCATTAAATGTTGCCTACAAAGACTTCTGCTGCCCTGTTGTTTGCTGTTGTAGCTGCTCATCCTGTTTCAAATGCCATTCTTCTAGCTCCTTTATTGCCTTTTCTTTCCACACTGCTTCTTGCTTCCGAGAATTGGCTCAAGGGCTTCCAAGCGCTCCATTTGTTCTTCTCTCCATTTACGGATACTTTCAGTTTCTGATGGCAGTGGATCCACTTCTGAAATAGCTACACAGCTGTCTGTCAGACCATTACTCTCCAGGTCGTATTCACCTTCGTGACTCTAGCAACAGCATCTAGAGTTGGTGTATGTTGAGTTTATTACCTTACCTTGTACTTCCTTCTGTACAAATACTTAAATTTTTTTTCCTTAATATATTTAAACTTAACTCATTTCACATAAATCATTAAAATTATTTGTGCATGTATTGTGTCTTCTGTAAAAATGTCTTACTTACATATTGAAGAATGAGACTCAACATGACTCCTGAAGAAGTCTTCCAGCTGTGGTTTTTGTGTGGTTTTGTAAAGCACAAGGTGCCTATATTAGTTACTTTTCTCATTGCTCTTCTCCCACATAACAACTTGTGAGAGAAGATTATTCTGCCTTTTGGTTCTGGGTACTGTCCATCCTGGTGAGGAAATCTAGGCAGCAAGGATTTTAACCAGCTGGCACATCCATTGGTAGGAAGCAGAAACAGCAACGTGACTGCTGGTGCTCAATGCGTTCTCTCTCTGTCTGTCTGTCTGTCTGTCTGTCTCTCTCTCTTCTCTCTTCTCTCTCCTCTCTTCTCTCTCTTCTCTCTCTCTTTCTCTCCTCTCTCTCTCTCTTCCCCCTCCTCCTTTCCCTTCCTTTCTCCCTTCCTCATATCTTCCCCCTGCACTCTCCTTATCCAGTTGAAGCCCTCACCCCATAGAATGATGCCATGCCACCCATATTCAAGAAAGGCTTTTCCCCTGCACTTAACCTAATTTAGACAGTTTCTCAAGACATGCCCTACTAGATGGTTCTGATTCTGTCAGACTGACAGTGTTAACCATCACAGGTGGCTTTTGGTGCTGGGAAAAGCTGGGATATTTCTGTTTGAATGATGATGTGGGAGAATTGAAGTCACTGGGTTATTCTGACTTGGCTTAAGATGCAGATTTTGAAGCCAGACTGTTTGGTTTACAGTTTGTTTTCTAGTTCTCCTACCTGAGCCCCAAGGTGCGGAGTTGGAGGTTACTTTCCTTTTCATGAATCTGAGCATATAGCAACTCAGGACCACTGTTAGTTGATGGCTCAGAGATACTTCTAAGTGCAGTTTAGGAAAAAGGTAGCTTTGGTAGCATAACTTGTCACAGACAGGAGTAGACTAGCTCTCTTCTTTCCTGTGGTTAATTTCTTGTCTCAACTTTTCTTTATCCCTTCTGCTTTGACAACTATTTCCGTCTATATCATTTTCTACCCGTTCCGATAAAGTTCTGTTTATCTTTCATCCTAAATGTGAGCATTGTTGATATCCAAACTGCTTAGGCTTCTGCGCTGCAGTGATGTATCATAGGAAGGCCTGACTTATCTGTTTGGGGCATGTTGCCACAAACAAATTGTCTTAGCTGAGCCCCCAGGTACCCTTGGATAACTTCACTTCATACATCCATTAAAGAAAAGAAACTGAAGAGGGACTTGTTTCTAACTAGTTCATACTTTGAGACACATTGGATGGGTGTTGAGAGGGATGACTATTCATTTGCCTGCTGGCTAAAGTCATGTGACCTAGATGATTTGATGTGAGTAGAATCTGAAGGTCTTTTTCTGAGTTTAACTTAGCTTGAGTTTATCAGAAACTGTTCATAAGACTAGATAATTACTGTTGAAATTTTGAAAAGAAAAATACAAAAGGGGATTGGGGTAGATAGATGGTTCGTGGGTTAAGAGCCCTTGGCTGCACTTGCATAGGACCTGGGAACAATTCCCAGCATACACACGGGAGTTTACAACTGCTTGTAACTGCAGTTCCACAGGACCCGATGCCTTCTGGCCTCCACAGGCACCGTACACACTACACTCATGTGATACACAGACATATGTTCAGGTAAACATTTATAAAAATAAATACTTTTTTAAATTTAAGGAAAAAAAGGTCCCATGTTTAGGATTCATAAACTAAGTTATGTGACTTTCTATGGTGCTAAAAATAACCTGACTCTGTTGAAAGGTCTATATACACAGTCCACTCATTACAGTCCTGGCCACTGTACTGGAATTCTTTTTGTATTTGGAAATACAGAGTTAGCCCATTCCTTGGCAGTAACAATTGCTACACCTACTCTTCTCTCTTTAAGCATACATATGCTCTGGCCTAGTACCTCTGGGGGTTTGTTCCAGGAACCCTCTTATCTGAAATCTGCAGGTGGTTAAGTGCATTATAGAAAATGACATAATGATGTAATGCTTGTATTTAGCCTGTGTAAGATCCTGTATGCTGTACACTGTCTTCAGACTAGATACCATGCCAATACAGTGCAAGTAGTACCATGAAAATACTACTTAGGGAATGATGGCAGGAGGAAAGAAAAAGCATGAATAGAACAGATGGAATATTTTTTCTAAGTGTTTTTATCTGTTAAGATAAAAATGGAACTCAAAAAATGGAAAACTGACAATAGCCTTCATAATTACGGGATTAACCTTGTATACAGATTTATTTCCTATATTATCACATGCATGATTTCAAGTGGTTACAGCTCCCTGCCAATAGGCCGTATCAGTATTTAATCTGGTCTCTTACTGGCTATCTTGACTGTTTCTTTACAAATTAGTTGAAAATAATTTTTGTAATCAATTTTTATGGAGAAAGTATTATCCATATGTCAGTAAGTCAGTGTCTGCCATCTTTACAGAGCTCACTACACATCGTTTACATTTAAACTAGGTCCTGAAGTTAGGTTTAAAATATCAAAATTAGAAAATGAACCTGATTAATTGCTATAATATTGCTAGTTCATTAGATTTGGGGTGTAAGGTACGAGACATAGCTTTTCCTGGTTACAGACGTAGGTATGGGTTCATTCAGCCTTATAGTAGGAATTTGAGATGACCTTGCTTGTATAGAACTTGGGTTGAAGTTACAGGCATGGGAACGCCAGAGGCTTGCCCTAAAGTCATGTCACTCACTAGGGGCAGGGTCTGCACAGCCGTCTATTAAAGCGGCATTCGCTGTAGGAGGCTGTAACCTACCATATACTCTGGACATACTGGGCTGGGCTGGGACAATGAGATGGTATTCTGTATTGTCTATAGCCACCTCTTTACCTCAGCAGACGTTAATCACCATGCTTTGGTTTTGAGACCAAACTGATCCTAACATCTCTCAACTCTTCCTTTATACATCTGCAGCTAATTGGTCAAATTGGTTTATTAGCTGGAACTTGTTGGCGGAGGTTTCTGTCCCACCTGGTCCCGCAATAAACATACAGAAACCATATTATTTGCAATACTGTTTGACCAATAGCTTAAGCACATTTTTAGGTATCTCTTATATCCTAAATTAGCCCATTTCTATTGATCTGTGTATCGCCACAGATAGCTGTTGCTTACCGGCAAGGTTCTGGTGCATCTGTTTCCTGCAGGTGGCTACATGGCTTCTTGCTGACTCCACCTATTTTCTCTATATATCTTTTTCATCCTGACTTACTCTGTTAAGCCATTGGCCAAAAGCAGTGTCTTTATTAACAGCAGTAGAGCATATTCACAGCATACATCACCTCCACTTTTCTGTAAAAGGAAAGTTTTAACTTTAACATAGCAAGATTACATATAACAAAACAGGTATCAAGCAAGAATTATAGTTACAATATTTTTATCTATCTTTTATCATAACTAAGGAAAACTATAATCCTAACTATCTATTCTTCAACTCTATCAAAGACCCCAGAAGGATATACTCTTACCTAAGTTAACAGAAAGTACATTATAAGCAACTTCCAAAACTCTAAAATTGACAGAGATATCTTGCTGCCTGGACAGTCATCCAAAGTTCTTCTTTAACATTAGGGCATCCAACCTTCAGCCTACAGGCCCATAGTATCTGGTAGACTTTTCCATGAAGCAGGAAATTTCAAAGACAGTTCCACCCATATTGGCAGTTTGTCAGTCACTTTCTTCTGTGTGATGCAGAATGTCTGGTAGACTCTTTCATGAAGCCGGAACCTCAAAGGACCTTCTTAGGCAACTTCATCAGTCATTTTTCTATAAGAAGTCCTGTAAATCCAGTTAAGCAGTTCAGGCAAGAGCAGTTTCTTGCCCAAATGGCTAACAAATTCCATGAGGAGCCTTTTTGCTGCCCATTTTCCTCTTAAAGTAATTGGTGGTGCCAGGAGCAGATGTGTCTCACTGTCATGAAAAGTTTAAATTCTTAAAACATCTTAAATGCCATATTCTGTTAGTCTTTGAGAGGTTTGAAAAATACCCATCTGAAATATATTTCTGTACATCTAGAAAACCTGGCGTGACTACAAGCTTGACTATTATAGATGTATTAACCTATATTTCTTAATTATACATTACAATTTTAAATGAGCTGCGTGAAAACAATACCTTAAGAGCAGAAATACATATACACAAAATTGACCTTAAATTTGTATCAGTAAACCAAGAACCATATCAATGCAAAGTATCCATCTCTATAGCATGTCTCCCTTTAAATGTAAACAAACACTTATAAACAATATTTGGGCATAGTTCTCTCCATACGACTTTCTGCTCTTTATTGGGCAAAGTAATTTTCTGGGTATTCATGGAGACCCTTCGGGTGGTCTTGGTCCATTAAACCATATTAGTCTAGAAGGAATCCACAGGTTCTCATCTTCTGTGGAAACAAAAGCAGAACCTCTTTTCCAAAGCAACATAATTTTAGGCCCAAATTTTGAAGTCAGGATACCTTTAAAATATATATGTTGGCCGGGCGGTGGTAGCACATGCTTTTAATCCCAGCACTTGGGAGGCAGAGGCAGGTGGATCTTTGAGTGCGAGGCCAGTCTGGTCTATAAGAGTTAGTTCCAGGACAGGCCCCAAAGCCACAGAGAAACCCTGTCTCAAAAACCAAATATATATATGGGTTTCGCTTAGCAGCCCATACAACGAAATGTCTCTCTGTATTTAGCTCCTTCACAGTCAAAAAATTCAAAGAAAATACATAATCCAGAATCTGAATATTCCATCTTTATATGTGCTTATCTTTCTTACTCTATTACTTTTTCTATAAGTTTACTCTGTCTTTTTAAAGACTCCGTTTTATTTTTAAAAAAACATTTACTTTTTATAACTATCATTTTCTTCTCTCTCCCACGCATACATACATTTTTAAAACACACTGTGACCCTTTCAGAGGTCTTTTTTCATCTGAATTTGGCTTTATTTTGTACCTGTAATCCTTTTCTGACCAGGACCGCTTCTTAAAACACTAAGCGGCATGGCTAGGACAAAGGCTGCTTTGCTTTTTGGCTCCACCCAGTCCAACATGGCAGAGGCATGGCTCACCACCTCTGCTAGCCATGCACACTGCCCCAGTTCCAGGTATACAGCTTGTCTAATATGTGCCATTAAGTAGTTTGTAACATGCTGCTCACGAACCCCATTTAAATGTTCTGAAGCCAGACCTCCTGAAAGTTTGTGTGCTGGTGAACCAGCTGGCTCCTAAAGAAGCCACAGAGCCTTCCTTGCCACGACTGAGTCAAGAAGGAGCTGTGGTGAGCCAG